TTATTATTATTATTATTATTATTATTATTATTATTATTATTATTATTATTATTATTATTATTATTATTATTATTATTATTATTATTATTCTGACACTTTCAGTTTCTATCATTAACCAAATCCCACACCATTATAAAGTGAGGATATCACCACTTGCAATCTCCTCCATCGATTTTACTTGTGGAAAGCTGAAAAAGGTTGCAAATGATGATCAACTGATTGCAGAGTGCTGCAACAACTGGAACTTTGAGGATTGGTCATAAGTATCACTTGTTTTGCATCTTTGCAAAATTGAACTATCTCCAAATTAATGGTTATTAAACAAGGACCACCTGTATTTCAATTAGTATAGCTACACATGCCTCATAAAATAAGGAAGGTTATCCCGCCATCTTCCTCAGTGAAGTGCTGCCCTCATAATGCCAAAGGAGGACATTTGGAGTAACTAATATCATATTTTAAAATCCTGAATGCAAGGAAAGGGCTGCAGTTGGCTCTTTGACTCTTTTCAGGTGAGTAGAGCAATATTAACAATGGAGGTGTCAATCTCACCCTCTGAACCTTAAATAAATTTGAATTAAGAACTAAAAGGTAATCAACGTGGAAAGAAACGGACACCATCAATGATTGTGGAAAATATCTGGGATTTAGGGAAATTTAAAGCCATAAAGGCCTCTCTCTCTGTCTCTACAGTCCCATCAGATCTGGCAGAAGGGACATGTTCCTGGTCCCTTTTGATTAGAGTGCCATCTAGGGGCCAGGAAGCATCCTTTTTCCATTGCTATATCTGTACTTTGGAAACTTGTCTCTTGTCTCAAAAGACTACCAAATTGCTGACCTCCAAAACTCTTTAGACCTGCTGTGGTGGGAAGAGGATGAAGTCTGTGAGTCGCATGATTTTTGGTTAATTGGTTTATTCTTGAGGACCATTTTTTTGTTTTCCTTTCTGGTGTGTGCTTTTATTCACTTTATTTTCTTTTCAGATTGATACTTTTGTGTTAGCTGTCATTTTTACTTTATGTGAGATGCATAGCCATATAAATCAAATAAACAGGCAGATAAAGCCCATCTGCTAAATTTCACAACAAATTAAATCATTGAAGAAATTAGAATTAAGATAAAAAGTAGAAAAACAAACATTCAAACCAGTCAGCCAAATTATTCAAAATTCAAGGACAACTTATCAGAAACAACTTAAAAACAAACCCCTTTATTAAGTTATTTACATGAAAAGCTTTTTCTGAGTACACTGACTTTTAGCCCAAGGTACATGACACTTTCAGATATATGTGGCAAGCTCTTATGGAGATCTGTCCCAATAATTGTCAAAATCTACCAGCAACCATAAAAAGAAATTGAGTCTGCTTGTGGTTGTGCAAAAAGCAAATATGTAAAATTGTGATTTTTTTTTCTCTTTGGAAGAAGAGATTAAACATTTCTAAGCCTATATGTTTTGTGGTTAAAAATTCGAATCCTGGGTGATGCCATGTAGTAAAAACAAATAAATACGAACACCAGGATAATATCAAACTAGGATTTGTTTAATAAAATGCTGAGCTTTCATCGGCCAGCACTGCCGACATCATCAGAGCACAGAAACAAGTCAATGGGAGTTCCCTTTTTTATAACGCCGGCCGATTTTGCGCATGGCTCCTGGACCTAGTCATCGGTCCATCTTATGTCTCTGATTGTTTCATTCTTGGAAGGCACATAATCACTGTTCCCTTGATGGTTTTTAAAGCCGCAGTTCCCTTATCCACTTTCTTTTCTCCAATCCCCTCTCTTGTCCACCCCGCTGTCTGTTATTGCACCACTAACTTCTAGGGCTGCTGCTCCCCTTTCTCCTTTTTGCCCATCGCTTTCTTCGTATGTATCCAATTACCCAGATTCGTTGTTCCCTCCCCCTTTTTTCGAATCGTTTCCCTTACCTGCTCATGGCGATGTGCTGTAGTCTCAATGATTTTTAGGGATGCTATTCCCCCCTCCTCCTTTTCCCCAACCGTCCAACCACCCCTTTGTGCTACACACTTTCGCTCATTCCCTCTCTTCGTCTCTACCCCAAGGCATAACCGTTCCATCCCTGGCAGGCTGTTAGCAGGATGTGTATCCAATAAAACCCTCTTGCTTTTTCGCCCCATTGCTCCTGCGCGTGTGTGAGTGTTTCCAAGATGGTCAGTCAAATGGATCTGAATGTTTATCCAGGACGGCTTTAGCACGCCCGTTCCTGTCTCCACTCTTCTGTTGGAGGACATTGCCCCTCTCAGGGGATGCCCCAAGGCATGTTGAAAGCCTTCTTCCCGCCATTCACTCCGATCTTCCATCGCTCGTGATCCTTGCACCTGCATCACCAAACTCTGCAAGATGTGTATTAGATTCTACTCCACCCTTAATTAGCTCTCTTGTTCCTCTTGCTCGTGTACAGACTCCCAACGGGGGTCCCCTGTTCTTTCTATCGCTATACCCCTCTGGTCCTGTAAAGGGTGGATGAATTGCTTTCGTTGGGAACCCTGGCGTTGTTTTTCCCACGTTCTCAGCGTTTGGTGTAGAAGCGATAGCAATAGAAAGAACAGCAGCGTCCCTAAAAACAAATCCTAGTTTGATATTATCCTGGTGTTCGTATTTATTTGTTTTTACTATATATATATTCTTTCAGTCTTGACTGCTAGACATTGATACAGCCTTTTCCTCTTCCAGGGGTGGGGCGGAAGTGGTGAAAGTGAAGGCAGAAAAAACCAAAAGTTAGAATAAAATTGCTTTTCTTCTTCTTTTTAATTGAAAGCAGCATTTTAGGGAGGGGGGACATTTTATCTTTAATTAAACTTTATGTAGCCAAAGCCCTGCAATTCCAAGTGACCCAGCCCAATCATCTCAGGGTCTTCATCTTTCTTCTAAAAGCCCTGGACCTCTCTGAAACTTGAAGCTTTCAAATTTCTCTCCAACTCTTAAGACACAACACGTCAGTCTACCAACCCTCACCGATGGTTTGCTCCCACTTCACCTACCCAACTCACAGGTCCTCAGTCTTTTTAAAGCTTTCCCCTCTCCTGCCCTGTCCAGGTAATGCTATGCTGGACAAGCCAAATGTGCTATGGCAGGCTGCCCAGATGCCAGCAAAGAGTTTCCTTTTCACCCCCTGGTAGTTGCACTTCTGCAGAGGAACATCTGCACCAGCTTTTGGGATCTCAGGCCAGACTTTCAGGGATAATAATGAAGTAATGATAAATATGTATACAGTAGAATACATAATAATAAAGGAAAGAAGCCTGACTACATTCACAAAGTGAAAGACTATATACTGTAAGCCCCCTCCCTTGGGAAGAAATTAATTACTGTAGAAAAATGCAGACTCCCTTCTTCTCCCCCCCTCACACACATTCCAGAACATGTACTGTATACACAATTTACTCACAGATCCACATGGAAAGTCCAACAATCTCCAATACACAGCAGCTGAGAAATACACCCAAGAATATATAGTGCAACAGCATGGATCCTAAAAATTAAATTTGAAAAAGAGAAAGTCTCTGAAACCAAGCATTGTCTTTCTGGTAATGGGAAGAATCTAAAATATCCAAAAGATTGCAGGAATATTAGATGAGGTTATTCTTAAAGCAGATCATGCTGTTCACATTTTCCCTGGGAGACTGGAAAAAAAAAAAAGGAAAGGCCATATGGAAATACTATGCTCCAATCAATAATTCCCCACCTCCTAGGAAATGATGCCATACTCACCAAAGTAATGCAGGAAAACAGTAAGGGGGACAAGTATCAGAAGTAGAAATCCACAAATGATGACTATCCCTTTATGTAATAAAGTACATATGAGGAAAAAAGGAAAATTACCAAAAAGGAAACCCAGATATGCTTTTCCTATGAGGGGGGAGATCTAAGATCTCATGTTTTTTTGAAAAATATTCAAAAAAATTCTGCTATTTTGCGGAACATCTCAGAAGCAGCTTCCCTTTCCTCTATCCCCTCTTTGAACACCCCTTTGGGCTTGGAAATGGATTCGTATGTCTCTCTTTTCCCCTATTTGACTTCACAATTTCCCCTTTTCTGGCTTGCCCAGCACAGGCAAAATTGCTATGATTTGTCTGCTGGCTGGAGCTAAAAATGCCATCCTCCCCATTTTAGTTCAGTGCTTGCCGGTGTCCACAGAGATAGTTTTCTTCTAGCCTCATTAATTTTATTGAAAAAATGCACAAAGGGGAATAGTTCACTCACAGTATTCTGTACTGAAACTTCTAACACCTGCAGGAAGAGAATCAGAGAATTAGATTGAAAGTAATGTCCACAAGGAAATCCTTTTCCAGCTTTTTCTCACAAGTCCTGACAGAGTTGTTGAGATCTCCTGGAAGTTGCATTGAGTAATGGCAGGCATATTTTCAGATACCTATAGCATCAGCTACTACTCTCAGAGCTTCCTGGTCCAGATAGGGCCATAACTAGTGCACCAACTGCAGGTGGACCAAGCTCCCTTCTGTGGAGCAGAGCCATCTCCTGCTGTGATTCCAGGAGGACTAAGCCATAGGCTTGTATCTTCAAATGAAGCCAGACCTATCTATAGTCAGTACCAAGATAGAAGTTTCCAAATAGCCAAGATATTTACTGATAACTAGCACCTTCATTTTACAAAAGTTTAATCTGTCCTTGCTCCTCTCCATCTAGTCTCTTAACAATATTTAGTATCTTCCAAAGGTGCTTTTCAAAAGGCAACTGGACTTTCTTGTGTTTTTTCCCTTTGAAAATCTTTCGACTGTCTGCTTGGATTGGAGTGCAAACCCTGCAAAACTGGGATAGTATAAGGCTCCTGCCTTGAGCAGGGGGTTAGATTAGGAGACCTCTAAGGTCCCTTCCATCCCTACGATTCTATGAAAACAATGTCTCCAGTCCCCAACTTTTGCAGGCAGTCCAAGAGGATGCCATGTTGCAACCTGCTTTTAGTCGTGGCTTTCTGTTTGTTCTCATTTTCCTGCAGACCCTCCCCCAAATCCCCTTTTGTGTTACTTTTGTTGAAAAGAAATTAGGAGGATGGCATAGGTTACTTTTGCATAGGAAATAGCTGGGATTGTAGACTCTTAAAAATCATCAGGAAGGATTCTGGGAATGCTGAAGAAGAACGGGAAGAAAGATATCAGCTAGCCAATAACAGGGAGTAGACCACTCTGACTATTGAAGTAGGGTTGTTTTAATAAAGAGAAAATGTGGTTGATGAGCTTGTTATAGACTAAACATTGCTTCTTTATTGTAGTCTGGTATAAGGATGAATAAATGACATTAAAATTGATATCACAGCTTTTTGTGTGCATGAATCAATCCCTGTTCTTACCTAACCTCTAATCTGCTTGCCAACTTTGGAGAAAAAATCCCCAAATGCCCTCTGGAAATGCTCAATAATCATCCTGCACTGGACAGACAGTTTGAATGGAGTTCTTGCCCAAGAAAACCTAAGTGCCTATCATTTGAACCTTACCAGAAGATAGCAAAGGACAGATGTTAATACCCTTCGTATTCAAATCATGTGTTTCAGAGTAAAAACCAGATAAAATACATGGCCACCTACCTGGAGATGCTTGTGAATGTTGCACTAGTATGCGTTTAGCTAAAGGGAGAAATCAGAAAGATGGAACTGAAATTATGCCCAATTGCAAGAGTCATCCAGCCTGACTAGGAAGAGGTCCTGGACAGAAGTTTCTCAGGGATTTTCTCACTGCCCCAGGAAGGGAAGGGGTCACTGGCCAATATGGCAACCCTCATAGCGGAAGGGAAAGACTTTCCAAAAATCAAGAAAAGGCCCCATTCCTTCAGTGGAACCCCCATCTTCTCTGACCCTCCCCCAATAATCACTGTGAGACAATTAAGGTGCCCATCATAAGCATTGGATGTTTGGGGTGAATATAATTGTTTCTACCTAAAAAAATGGTGGAACACCCCTCATAGGGAAAATAGGCGTTGTGGACTTCTATGACTTCCCCAGTAAGGAATTCCCTCCAACTACAACATGCATTCCCCATTTACTTACCAAATAAGTAAAGACCGCATCCAATAAGTACAACCATGAGAATGGCTCCCAGAACAATGATTATAATGGACAATGGATGGGGTACTAAAGAAGAAGAAGAAGAAGAAGAAAAATTTGCCTTATCAGTGAGACGGGTGGCACATATATGTGATAAATCTGAAGATAAATAGGAAAGACTTTTGTTTTTCTATTATGGAGAATCCAAAGTGCAGAAACAAGTTCATTTTCATGAACCTGGAATAACCTAGGAACAGACACCTTGCCTATCAAGGTAATACTATCTTTCTCAAGGGCAAAATTATTGTGCTACAACCACTGAGAGTAATAGATGGGAAGACAGCCTCCAGCTCAGGTCTTTGACTCCAACAATAGGTGTGGGATCTAGATGGCAGGAGGGATATTCCAGGATGGAAACAGTGCTGAGCAAAATAAAGTCAAACTTAGTAGCTATCCACTGAGACTTAGATTTTTTCTGGGGCTACCAATAAGCCTGCAACACAGCTAAAGTTCTCTGGCCTTCTGTTTCTTCTTCCTCCTTGGTGAGAAATCCTCTGCCTTTTCATCCTTCTACTGTTCCCAACTACTCACCAGGCACTATTAAAACCACCTTCAGGGGATTCTTCAGGCTGCCATGCTCGACCCAGCACTGGAACTGATTCCGTTCACTGGGACTGATCCTAATGCTGAGCCAGAAGTGATAGGTCCCATCTGAATTCGGGGCAACCAACCCATGCAAAGTATCCTGCAGCCAGATTTCTCCATATTTCCTCCACGTTGCTTTGATATCCTTGGGGAAGAAACCATCCACTCGGCAGATGTGAGTTTCTGTTTGGATGGCCTCTGCCTTACTCATGACCGTCACTGTTGGGGGCTCTGCAGAAATGACAGGATCAGAGTAAATACCGAGCATCTCCATGGGTAGAATGTGAACTTCACTAGCAGGAAAAGGCTTCTCAAATAACTTCAACTTTGCCCTCCCTTCAGGCCCTGAGGAGGAAACCCTCCAGTCTCTTGATCCTTCTGAGTGTCCTTTATCACACCTCTTCCAGTGCTAGGGTACCCTTTATTATGGAGCAGAGAGATCATATAATGCCCTAGGTGCACAGTTAGTGCATACCATCGCACAGGTGGGCTTTGTCATGGTGAGCTGAGATTTGGAATCTGAGAAAACCAACAATGAGCAGCCAGTGACAGAGACAGCTTCAGAAGTGCTCAGAGACAAGAAGTCAGTTCCAGCACCACCAAAGAGGACAGCTGCTTTGAGCGGCAAAAGAGAGAGGCAAAATATCAAACAGCAGACATACCGTAGCTTCCACCTTAGCAAAGAAGTCCTGCTAAATAAGCCACACTAAGGCTACTTCTATTAAAATGGAGCAGCAAGCACAAGCTCTCTCTTGACGACAACT